TAATTTATAAGATGACAAAAATAGCAAAAATCAAAGATTTTTAAAGTTTAAAGTTATTCCATTTTTCAAGTGATAAATTATATTTTAAGGTGGAATGAAATAAATTGAAATGTCTAGAGGAAACGTTAAAGAAAAATAGAAGAAAGTAAAATAAAAAATATTGATGGAGGATAAAATGAACAAAATTAAATACATGAATAATTCATAGAAAGTAAGGAAAGAGAGAAAAGAAACAAAAGAAACAAGTAGCAAGATGATAGACTTAAATAGAAATGTACCAGTAATTAATTATAAGTATAGTAAATAAAAATAAACAACAAAAATGTGAAACCAGATTAAAACAAATCAACAAAAACTTAGTGTCTTAAATAAAACTTAAAAAAAAAGAACAATATAGTAAAAAAGTAAAATGAAAAATATTATACCATCCAACTGTTAACTAAAAAAAGGAAAATGAAATATCTGGAATTGTTATATTAATATCAGGTAAATTGGACTTTAAGTTATGAAGCATTATTAAAGAAAGATGTTTCACAATGACATACTTTCAAAGAGGAAGATATCATACCTTAAATCTGTGTGCATCTGGTAACATGATTTCAAACTATATCTGACCAAAATAAAACAAAACCAAAAAATACTAATAGAAAATAAAAGAATAAATAGAAAAATCCAGTATCATAATGGGATATAATAACATATATCTCTCAAGAGCTGACAAACAAAACTTCTGTTTGAATACAGAAAATTGCAGTGACATAATGAATAAAGTTGAACTAATTTATATATGTAGAAAACTAACCATGAAGCTGTGGAATTTACCTTCTTTTAAATCAAGTATATGCTGACACTTAAAAACACTCTCAAGAAGTTTCAAAATATATGCCTGTAACCATGGTAAAATAAACCAGGTATTTTTTAAAGTATGCTAGAAAAACTCCAACTTGGTGGTAATTGAAATATGCACTTTACATTTTGATGGATCAAAGGAGAAGCTTGCTTGCTTGTTTCTTTTAATTTCTGTTTCAAATAAAATATTAATGCCGAATATATTATATGCCATTTAGATTTGTTCTCATGAAAATGCAAATAATAACTTTAAAACAACGGGCCTTCATCTAAAATATTTTACCATCAACAAAATTACATCAATGTCAATATTTCCATCAGTGGTATTACCTCTTTTACTAACATTAAATTTACCCACATCAGTTAGTTTTCTCATTCTTAGGTTTATGGGAAATACTGCCATCTACTGAGCTTTTAGGACTTGATCCTCCCAATATTACATTGCACTATATCAACTTGAGTCACAAGCAGGCTAAAGTTGTTGCATGACTTAATTTTGCAATTATTTCAAGTTCTTAGGGGAAGTTTTGTTAAACGATCAAATTTCTACTCTTTGATTATGATTATTTGACATGTCTTCTTCTTGTTTCCCCAGACTGGTTATTTATTCTTTGAGGACAATTCTCAAATACAACTTCCTTTAGGGTATAGAAGGTTTGCTTTATGAGCTTTCATGGAAATTACTGATATTTATGCACATTTTCTTTACACAGAATAATAGACCTCAGTGACTTTTTATCTGTCTGAGAATCAATTATGGAATAACCATAACATAGTTAAAACCAGAGAAGGAAATAGCAAGAATCTTAAGAAGTAGAATAGATTCCTTTCAATAGAAGAACTTATATTGAGGAACTTACACCTTGAGATATTGTCTCTGAAGAAGAACTGGGCATCCCTTGTGTCCTCTGAGTAAGGATTCAAGGCACAGATGGGCTGATTTGTCCTCTTTCACTGTGAGTCTGACAAGTAGCTCTCTTTCCTAATTCTTCCTGCCCACATGTAGGCATTACTGGAATTGAGCAGTAGCTGTCCTCTTAGTTGGACATGTACCATCCAATCTCTGTTCTCCCCTATAGCCTCCCTGACACTGGCAGCCCTCTTCCACCTGGACTTTCATTTGCCTTGTATTCCAGGCCACTGAGTTTGCATCTGCCTAGTGTAGAGAGTCTTTGTAAAGCAAATTATTAGTCTAGTTCACCTGTAACTCTCAAATGCTTACTCAAAACCCATTTATCTTAAATTAAGATACACTGATAACTTTAAATTAAGATACAAGATGTAACAAGCTGATTTTCACAGGCCATAGCAAATTGATAGGAAGAGAAAGACGTTGTAAAAAATGCTATGAGGGAATATTTTGCAAAGCTTTGTGTGCCAGATGTTTAAACCAGAGTCAGTCAGTTATGGTAAAACATGGCTCTCTCAAGTGAAGAGAAAAAAAAGTCAGAAGAACTGTAAGCCAAACAAAACAAAAACATCTTAAGAGAAACAATTAGACTACTGGGTCCATTTGATGACTGATCTTTATAGAATTTGAACTGTATATAGATTTCATGGTGCATTTCATGGTGCTTCATGAACTCAAGTCCTCATAGTACATCATTTTTTTTTTCCTCCATGCGGTTTGCAAAGTTTCCCACTATATATCTAGCCACTTGGTGAGTTATAATGCTTGTGGGAAAATTAAAGAATACTTTACTGCAAGCTACTCTTGTCATGGTGACACCAAATCATTCTGAAAACAGCAATGTGTTTAGTGCAATATGAGTGCACAATAAAATATCTTTTAAACAAATCAGAGTGTGAGGTTCCGGGTGTGTACTGCCTCTGTTTCAAAACACTAAGAGCATCTCAGCATGTGGCAGGATTGACAGTTGTCAGTCATTCTGCACAGACTGCTACAGACGGAAGACATGTAGATCCCATTGGATATAATGAGTTAATTCAATGAGTGTACGTTTATTCTGTGTCCTTGTCAGGTAAAACAATTGTTTTTTCCTATGAACTGATGCTTCAGCAACTATCATCAATCAAAATAAATTAGGAATATACTTTTCTATATTCATCACCATTACAATTTTCGGCTGATTTCTAAAATCAGTTTTAATGGACTTATCTATTTAAAAATCAGTTTATGGAGAGAAGGAGGGAGAGAAAGAATGGGAGATATTATTTGTACCAAGATCAAGCATTTATTGAGCCCCTACTGTGTAGAGTTTGAGTTTTTCACTCTATTATAATAAGGGTTATAATATTAATATCTTTAAAATAGTGGTGGTAGAATCTATTTGAAAATAAGGTAGGTTGAAAATAAGGTTGGTGTTGTAAGTTATAATAAAGTTTATATTCAGCTGAGTTCAACAGCACTTTTCTCATAATGAAATATGTGTATATGTATATTGTGTGGAATAAGGGATAAAATGAATACAAAAGTACACTGTAGGGTTTCCCTGGTGGCACAGTGGTTGAGAGTCCGCCTGCCGATGCAGGGGACACCGGTTCGTGCCCCGGTCCGGGAAGATCCCACATGCCGCGGAGCGGCTAGGCCCGTGAGCCATGGTCGCTAAGCCTGCGTGTCGGGAGCCTGTGCTCCGCAACGGGAGACGCCACAACAGTGAGAGGCCCGCGTACCGCCAAAAAAAAAAAAGTACACTGTAACTTTGTAAAATTACTTGATTTTTTTTTTTTTTTTTTTGTGGTATGTGGTCTTTTAACAATAGTAATTTGACAGAGTATTTAAATTCGACTAATTTACTCATTCATTTAGTAGTCATTTATCCAGGGCTGGGCAGTGATCTGAATATTTAAGGTTACAAAGACAAATCAAGCATCATTCTTACTTAGAGGGACTCAAAGTAGGGGAGATATGCACCTATGGAAATAAATATAGCATAAACGTTCATGGGAAAGTGCTATGTAACAGGAAATGAGGGTTAATTAACTCTCTGCTAATTCTGCAACAGAGGTCAGAGAAACTTGTAAGTGGGCTTTTAAACAAAGGAATGTGAGTGTGGAAACTTCTGGGCTGATTTAAGGATGTGCAAACTGTTATATTTTCAGAACAGGCAGTATTCCATCGTGTATGGAGTGTACTGAGAATGATGCTGAGAGATAAGGCTGGGGACAGCCTTTCATACTGACTTGTGGAGAGACTTTATTGACATCCCACGCTGTCTACTTCGTTACAGTTTTTAAACAGCATGTGTAAGTAGGACAGCTCCCCTATAGGACTTTATGATAATTAATGGTTTTTCTATAAAGTGTCATCCACAGTTTCTGCCACATTAAAATTACTCAAATATGTTTCCTTCCCTTTCTGAGGGTGTCACAAACACCATTTCATTCTGAGCTCACAGAACTGACACTCTTTCCCCTTGAATTGCCTGATAGTTTGTGCTCTGTATTCACAAGGTTCATATTCTACTTTGAGATCAGACTTTATTATATTAGCCGTACCCTGTGGTTGGATGGCATGTTTGTGTGTGTGTGTATGTGAAAAGTGTTCATTCCTAACCTGCAGGATTTTTCTTTTAATTTCAGTCACAAAGCGTACATTTTTGACTATTTTGCAAGAGTAGAATGCCCATATCAAAATGTATTATGAATATCTCCATGAATTCCTTAGTAATACATAACCACTTCAGCAAATGCAGGATATCATTCTTTAGTACCACTATCTCATTTTTAATATTTAACTGTGATGCCAACTGAAATGGATATCTAACACAATAACAATTATCTGCCAGGCTCAGGAGACCACAGATGGAGTGATTTCTTTAGTCTTGTGTATAAAAGGAAGACCATACAAAACAAAATATTCCCATTTAAGATAATAGTAACATGATATTATATGTTCAAGTATAGTTGACCCTTGAACAACATGGAGGTTAGGAGCGTCTAACCTCTATGCTGTCCAAAAATGCGTATAACTTATAGTCAGCCCTTTGTATCCAGGTTCCTCAGTATCTGCAGATACAACCAACCACAGATCTGATCATGTATTCCTGTAGTACTTACTACTGAGAAAAATCCATGTAAAAGTGGACCCTTATAGCTCAAATCTGTGTTGTTCAAGGGTCAACTGTATTTCAATCTGTTTTACATAAATGAATAGTGATAAGTGCAAATCAGAAGAAACAGGTACGTACTTTGAGGAAACCGTGGGGGGTTGTCATTGACATCTGTCAGGGTGATGTTGACCGTGGTGGATCCCGACAGCCCTCCAACTTGCCCAGCCATGTCTTTGGCTTGAATGACCACTGAGTAATGTTCTCTGGCTTCTCTGTCCATATTATGTAAGGCAGTTCTAATAACTCCTGTAATACATATTTTAAACAAAACAGTATGGATTATACATTAAATGAGAAGCAACAAGGTATCTCTCTCTTTTTTCTTCTTTCTTTTAAGAAAAGTAGTTTTAACTGAAATGCTTTTGAGAGAAAACCAGGCTTCTGAGACAAACAGTACCTTGACAATGTTATTAAAACTGTCTCATCGAAATATTTATTTATAACCACGCATCCCTAACCAATCTATTAGAGGCAAATGAAGATACCTATCTCTTGGTGGTCCTTGGGGTCACTGGCCTCTAGAGGGCAGCCCTGCAGTCCCTGCTCTTTCCTTCTGTGGGTGGCCTGAATATTTCACAACTCATTCTCCTCACAAGTGTTAGCTGAGATGTTTTGAGCAGAGGTTAATTTTCTTCCTTACAGAACAATTTACATAGTTTTCTGACAGGGTTGTCAAAGTTTGATGATGAAAAACAATGGAGGAGTGTAGACACTTGAACAAAGATTACAGGCAGGAGGCATTTTAACATTTATCAAGACTAAGAAACTGACTTTTTGTCAGGAAATAACTACAATAAGAACTAGATCTAAGTACACAAGCAAAATAAAGTGATGAGATTGGTTCCAAAACTTGCATGTAAAAGTCACATTCTTTGTCTTGTAGTACCAAAAAAGACACTTAATGCACTTTCTAATTAATTAATTAATGCACTTTCTCATTATATTAATTAATTAATTAATTATATTAATTAATTTGTTATAATTAATATAACAAAATGTTATATATCCATATGTAGTTCTGTGTAGGCAAACACACACATGCACACATAAATTAGATTTGTCAATAAAGCCTTACATTTAGAAACTGGAACACATTTTCTAGCAGGTCAAGTTTATGCAAGGACTATCAAATATGTCTTAAAATAAAAAATTGTCCTCATATACATGAGCCATATTAAACATAAGCATATAAATATATAAGCATACATGTGTTGATATTTTATATTCATATAAATGTACAATATAAATATATTTGCTACTCGAAACATAGGTCACCATTTAACAACCACCTTTTTACTTTTATTTAAAATAGTTGGATCATGTCACTTTTGAGAAAGACACCAATGGCTTCAATCAAACTCACACTTAATTAGTTAGCAGCACAATTCACGGGATAGTGCCATTTATAATGACTGCCAACTATAGAGCTTAACAAACACTTTTGCAGACAATATATTGATATAATAGGAGAAAATGGGTTTGTATATTCAAGTGGAAAAGATAGTCTTTTAAAAGTGGAAAGGATTAGTCAATCAGTTGTTTTGAATACAGAACACTTAACCACTTCCTTTTTTTTTTTTTTCACTGAATTGATTGCACATGCAATGCTCTGAGAGGAGAGCCACAGGTCCCAGGAAAAGAGATCCCCCTACTTTCAAAACTTGTGAACATATAATTGAGGGAATTTAGGAGAACTTTCCTGAAGCTAAATAGGAATGAAAATTATTCTTATCAAAAGAAATTACAATAATATGATAATAAATGATTCATCTAATTCATGCGTATGAAAAAGCCCCAAGCATCCTTACTAAATAGAACATTTTATCACATATGGTAATTATATAAGAAAAAATTAAATTGATGCAGAAAGGAACAAGTTAAGAATTTATGAAAATATTTAATGAAAGAAATGTATATTCTCTGATGTTTGAAAAAAAAATGCCATTCTAAAAAGAATACACTAGAAATGGGACTTGCCTCTGATGTGCAGAAGTATGAGATTACTGTCCAGGATGTTTTACAATGAAATCATTACAGTGATATTTGCAGAATATACATATGTGAAAATAAAATCTGTCATTAAAAAAGTGAAAGATATTTTTATGCAATTTGAATGTTATTCATTTCAGAGGATCAGAGAAGAGGAATTAGCACAACCCCTGTTTTACAGCATGGACTTTAATAATTCCATTGCAATAGCCATTATCTCCCTTCTTTTATAATACTGCTACTCTGACATGAAATGGGAAGAAATTTGTCAGCTAAATTTGCTTATGGAAAGAAAAGAGCATATCCAGAATTGACACATCTTTCTCAGAAACGATTGTTTAAGGGTTCATTTAAACTCTCGGTTCTCTTGAGAAAGGCTCAGTTGCATGTGCTTAGCTATGACCTCCCCTGAGGGCACATAGGTAATTGGGGAATGTTCAGGCAAATTGCCATAGCAACATGATCCCTGTATACAATAACCTTATTCAAACATGTGGCCCAGATGCTTGTAAGTAGGGTAGTCTAGAACACAGCTGATGCACAGTAACACAGTTTTTCCTCTTAAGTAGACTTTATTTTCTAGAGCAGTTTTAGGTCCATAGTAAAATTAAGAAAGTACAGACAGTTACCATGTACCCTTTTCCTCCTGACACACACAGCCTCCCCAGCTAGCACCATTCTGTATTAAAATGATGCATTTGTTACCGGTGATGAGCCTACATTGACATGTTCTCACTCAAAGTACATAATTTACATTAGGGATCACTCAGTGTTGTACATTCTATGGGTTTGGACACATGTATAATGATTTGTATCCATCATTGTAGTATTGCACAGAATAATTTAACTGCCCTAAAAATCCTGTCTGTTCCACCTATTCACCCTCCCTCCCCTCAACCTTGGCAACCACTGATCTTTTTACTGTTTCCACATTTTGCCTTTTCCAAAAAGTCATATAACTGTATTCATACAGTGTGCAATTTTTTGCAGATTGGCTTCTTCAATTAGTAAAAGGCATTTAAGGATCCTCCACGTCTTACCATGGCTTGATAGCTCATTTCTTTTTAGTGCTGAATAATATTCCTCTATTTGGATGTGCCTGTTTATTCATTCACCTACTGAAGGACATCTTGGTAGCTTTCAAGGTTTGGTGATTATGAATAAAACTGCTATAAACATCTGTGTGTAGGTTTTTGTGTGGACATAAGTTTTCATCTCCTTGATGTAAATATCAAGGAGTGTGATTGCTGGATCTTATGTTAGGACTCTGTTTAGTTTTGTAAGAAACTGCCAAATTGTCTTCCAAAGTGGCTGTACCATTTTGCATCCCCACTAACAATGAATGAATTTTTGTTGCTTCACATTTTTGTCAGGTTTTTGTGTTGTCAGTGTTCAGACTGTCACCATTGTATTAGGTGTATAATGGTATCTCACTGATGTTTTAACTTGCATTTCCTTAATGGCACATAATGATGAAAATTGGTTCATATGTTTATGTCCATATGTATGTCTTCTTTGGTGAGGTATGTTAAGGTCTTTTGTCCATTTTTTAAAATCAGGTTATTTGTTTTCTTATTGTTGAGTTTTAAGAGTTATTTGCATATTTTAAATAACAGTCCCCTACTAATAAGTCTTTTGCAAATACTGTCTCTCAGGCTATTACTTGTCTTCTCATTTTTTTGAGTGTCTTTCACAGTTTAGAAGTTTTTAATTACTTTGAAATCCATATTATAAATTATTTCTTTCATCAATCACAACTTTTATGTTATACCTAAAGTCACAGCCTAAGATACTTAATGTCATCTAGATTTTCTTCCATGTTGCCTTCTAGGAATTTTATAGTTTTATATTTAGGTCTGTGACACATTTTGAGTGACATTAAGCTAAGAGTGTAATATCTGTGTCATTTTTTTGGCATGTGGCTGTCAATTTGTTTCAGCACCATTTGTGGAAATAACAAATTTTTCTCCATTGTATAATATTTACTTCTTTGTCAAAGGTCAGTTGACTACATGCATGAGAAACAATTTCTGGGCTCTCTAATCTGTTCCATTGGTATATTTGTCTATTCTTTCATCAATACTACACTGCCTTGATTACTATAGCTTTATAGTAAATCTTGAAGTAGGGGACTGTCAGTCTTCCTAATTTGTTCTTCTCCTTTAATATTGTGTTGGCTATTCTGGGTCTTTTGCCTCTACATACAAACTTTAAAACAAGTTTTTCAATGCCTACAAAATAGCTTTTAGGGATTTTGATTGGTATTCCATTGATAAAGTTGAGAAGAACTGACAATATCGAGTTTTACCTATCCATGGACATAAAATATATCTCCATTTATTTAATAATACTTCTTGTTTCTTTCATGAGAGTTTTGTAGTTTTCCTTATATCAATTTCATACCTTTTTTATTAGATTATACCCAAGTATTTCTTTTAGGGGAAGCTAACCTAAATCATCTTGTGTTTTTAACTCAAAGTCAACTTGTTCATTGCTGGCATATAGGAAAGAGATTGACTTTTATATATTAACCTTGTATCCTGAAACCTTGCTCTCTCAAGACTGCATCCTTGAAAATAACTCCTGCTGTGGGAAATGTGGGCAGAACGCACATTCCAAGGTCAGAGAAGGGGATGTGGATCCTCTGGTTGCCTGGGTCCAGCTTGCTGGTCAACTGGCATTCACATCCTCTGGATGACCTCCCCCAATATCCATAACAACTACTACAGGTGATTTCAGTGTAAGTGGGTCCAAACTATGTTTTGAAAAGCCACAATTAGAAAGACGAAGTTCTGCCATTATGTATTCATACATTTCTTCAATTTTATTGCCATCTTGTCATGTCAATAAAAGCATGTATGAGGATATACACATGTGCACAGACAACAAACAATATGCAATAGTAATATACATTTTTCAAAATTGTGAAGCCTAAACTCATGTACAAGACTAGGATAAACTATATTTACACAGTCCAAATAAGAATTGATGTTTTGGTTTCTTGTTTGGCTTTTCTGCCATGTACCCACGGACCCAGTAATTGTAATATAACTTATTTTTGTCTTCCAAATAAACATAATAAGGACTTACCACATGGCCCTTTTATTAAGTAAATTTGTGAAGAAAACAACTCAGAGCAGCTAAATTAATCACCATAAATTATTGCATTGTTTGTTTAAAAACAAAGAAAACGCTCCTCTTTTCAGTAAATGCTAGGTAACTGGTAATGGCATATTCTGAATGTTTGATATCTTCAC